ATAATATTAATATTAATAATAATGAAGGAAAAAAAATGAAGGAATACCGATCTGACATTCGAAAAGACAACAATAAGAATGGCTTACAGTAAAAAATGTGCATTTCATTGACAAACAACGTTTGTGAAACATAGGTATATTCGTTTCTTTCTTATTTTAATCGTTTTTCTTTTGGTTTATTACCATCTGATCGGATTAACTACGTTCGAACGATGTAATCACTTGGGTAGACGAGAAACGGATACTCGAGACACTCGTAAACGACACCATCTGCGAAAATTGTTTGCTGGTAATACGAATTTTTTCCCCTTCGTTTATTCTGACTTGTGTCGAAAAGGGAAATACGCGAAACACAAAGCATGCGTTATTTTTTAACATTAGCAAAAAAAAAAAACAAGAAGAAAAGAAGTAAAATGTACGAGTATGTAACCTTTGTATATTTCCCTGTTTAATGCGAGTGAAAATAAACGAGAATCTGAAACAAGTTTTCTCGTTCTCTTCGATTTAAAGAAACGCTTTGAAATATTGTAACTTCATTTCGTGTTTATTCCTTGTTTCTTTTGTTAATTGTCACATTTCATTCTTAATGTTAAACGTTTAATGCGTTCCGCTTATATTACCAGCATAAGAATCTAGTCACTACAGAAATCTTGTAACTCAATGATATGGAAAAAAAACTGTATGGTTCACGCTTGAAAAACGGTGTTTTTGATATGGTAGGTATATATAACAACTGTACTATTCTATTGTCTAATTCAGTCAGTTTTATACTGCAATTATTTAAAAAAAAATGATTTCTCGAGATAGTCGAAGAACTAGCATGAATTAATGAAAATGTAATTTGATTTTAAAGACAATAGACTGATACAGAAATTTTATTTCATATTATAGACCAACTTTTTTCCATGAAACCATTGAGACTATCCTGAGAAAGCTACCCATCTGATTTTCTCCCATCTCAATACTGGTGCACATTTTTTCTTTGTATGCAATTTTTTCACATTTTTTTATTACTAACCATTGTACTGGCATTTTGGAAATATCGCACAAATATAATATAGAATAAAAACAAACAATTCTGGTACTGATTAGACAATCCTACACAACGTAAAAATATATTTTAAATTTCAAAAATTTAGAACAAATTATTTTTCAGTTTGTAAAATCTTAAATGTGTTTGTACAAATTGAAATAAAGTTTTGTATAAGGTAATTCAAAAATAGTACAATAATCGAAGCATATTGTCAATTGTAAGTTTATTGCTGATGATACTATGTAATATTCATATATTAACACTTTTTTTCGTTATTTATCATAGAAATAATTTTTTATGTATTTTATTAAGCATTTAAGATTTTACAAAAATTTAATGGTCTCAGAAAGCAAGATTTGTAGTATATTTATATAACATTTTGCATTATTACTGGTAAGTACATATATAATTCATAGATATATAGAAATTATATTACCTTGAACTAAATGTAATAAATATGATGATGTCTTCTTTAATACAAATATTGAAATGTATTAATGTAACAGATATCCTATTAAGTTTCTACCTTAGCATTCTATATATCTTTTGAGGCAAACTTTTTTACTGGCTCTTACCATTTACTATATTTTAAATGCCTTTTATAAATAGGAATAACTTAACTTGGAATAAATAATTCATTCATCCTTCTGATGCATTCATAAGCCCCAGTTGCAGGTACTTTCATGCAAGCAGAAATTACTTCATAAGTTATATAGAAATTAGAAACTTTTGTAGAATGAGGTATCTTACATGTCTCTTCACTGTATTCATTATTAAATTTAAGACATTGATCACTAAAGTGATGGAAGATATTTAAAATATTTTGTAGAAGATGTACAGAATCATCTTCTGTATGACTATTTAAATGTGTAAAGCAGCTAGTGAATAAATGTTCATAAGGACTGTGTTTTATGCTCCCTTCTAGTTGATTGATATTTTTAATCAGTGATTGATATATGTTGTCGTAATTTTCAATTCCTTCAAGTAATACAAACATTCTACAAAAACGTGTGAAAGATTTAAGTAAAAATGCAAATAAATCAGTCCCACCAATAGATGGATATTCCAAAGACAAACAACATGCTTCTATTGTCAAACGAAGAAAATTATTACACGCATCAATTTCGTCATTCCATCCGATAACGAACCAATATATTATAGTAAGTTCTGAGCCTAATTTTTGATACTCTTCTTCGGTCGAACGAATAATTAAATGACGCAAGAAATCTTCTCTCAATAAGCTCAAATCCGATAAATAATGTCGTAATTTTTCTGAAGTTTTAGGATCCTCTTTCAATCGATTTAACACCACGAAACAACGTCGTTCATAATCTTCTATTATATCAATTACGCTAACTCCTTTTTGCATTAAATACCAAAGCGATGCGAGGTGCAATTTATCTATTGGTTCGATGATGAATTCGATTCCATTGATTATTTCCTTTTTCGTTGAAGCAGAAAAGTTTTTGATTTCCAAGAAATATTGTAATATTCTTGTTATTTGACTAAATATTTCACTGCTTATATATTTTGAGATACTTGTGTTCTTTCTAAGGGAAGACATTCTTTTTGCAAGAGCTATTATTAATTCTTTAATATTTGTATCTTTGTTACATTTAACTTGCAATTTACGAATAGTGTTGAGAATAGAATTCATGTTTAAGACATTTAAAGTATCTTCATTCAAATATGGTATAAAAACATTGTTTATCAAGTCATGTACTTTAATTACAGAATTGTCCAACACAACTTTCACAAAGTCTATGAACTTTTTCGCATTCCATTCTGTATTTTCTATGCAAATAATTCTTAAGATACTTGTTAAAAGTATTTGATTATTGCCTTCTCTTATCTGCATAAATGGTGATAATAAAAGCAAGTCATTAGGAGAAATCATGATATTTCCATATTGAACATGACCAATAGTAATTTTTAAAAGTATAGTTAATATTGTTCTTGGGTTCTTTAAAAGAAACAATAAGACTGTCTTTAAATTGGTCGATGTTTGTAAATTTGTATTGCGTGCAATAAATTCATGAAAAGCTTCTTCCATGTGTGGAGATTCTAAATAATTTTTGCCATCATATTTCGTTAAATACATAATTACTATTTCATAAATATCTGGTATACTTTGGGAGGACAATATCTTTATAACTAAAGTGTAACTGAATTCTTTTAGATCTTCTTCTGCGGATTTCGTGAGAACAAGAGTAAGATATTCTAAAAGAGTTAAGCAGTCTTTCTTTTCTAGCAAAGATCTATTATTATAAACAAAATCAAGTATCGAACGATCCCACTCTTTGTATCTACATAGTAATTCTTTCATAAGATCTTTTTTGCCATTTGATATGGCACTACAGAGTTCTTGTAAATTTAAAGCAAAACTTGACTGTTTAGGATCTGATTTAGATGCTATTTGCTGTAAGCATTCTATTAAATGAGTATTTTGTGATAATTGTTCATCATTCATTGCAAGTTTTATAAAGTAATAACTTTCAATTGCAATGGAACGTTGTAAAGAAATCATACTGTTTTCTTCATCATCCAGTTCTGCCCAGCTCAAGTAAATATTACAATCAATTTCTTTGATTTTATTCAATAATAAATTCATTAATTCTTCATTTAATGTCCATATAGTGCTTTCTACTAGTGTACTTTCACACTTTATAAATGCTTCTCTTCCAAATGTAATGTTATATAATTTTTCAAGATCTTGAGAAATTAAAATTTCCTTGTCTTTGTTTTCTAAACATTTCCTTAATGTACAAATTAACTTTTTCAACATAATACCATGCCGTTCACACTTTTTTAAGCCTGATACCTCTGTTAAATAAGACAGTTTTGTATTTGTTATCAATAATAAAAATTCTTGAAAAGTAAGTAATAAATTTTGTATGCTATTCTCAACATCTGTAGACTGTATACCAATTTTCTTCAATTGCAAAAATTTAGAGTATACAATAATCATCAACTGGTATATGCTATTAACTGATCTTTGAAAAGGTAATTTATCTATACATTTTGTAATTATTTCAAAAACCTCTGTACACAAATCAAATGGCATATATAAAAGGGATTCGATTAAAATCTTCTCATATTCTAAATGCCATAATATTTGTATAAGCAAATATGGAGATAAAAGTGGACACATATCAACCAAATGTCCACTAATAATATCTTCTGCCAAATGTTCTTGATGTTTGAAATTTGTATTTAATAATAGGTATTTATATGATTGTACACATTTTTCATTGTTTATCAAAGCTTTCTCTGATACAGCTATGCTGTATGTTTCAAATATATTCACCATTGATTTACATATATCATCAATGTGATTACTATTTTCATTGGTTATGCAAGAAGTCAGCAATTTTAATTCTCCACATTCTTGGCTCTTCTTCATAAGGTACATTTGAACCTTTTTGTAAAACTCGTTTAGTTCATCCATTGTTAATGTATTGTAATAATTGTATTACATAAATGTTTTATAAAATCCTTATATTTTTCAAATTGTTTAGAATACCATAGTAAACATTTTTATATCTCTGTAAATGCAATACAATTATTATTAAACATGTCAGTTACCAAAATCACTCATAAATATAAACTTAGTACACACAATTGACTATACTGTTAAATAATAGGAATTACAACAAAATTAAAGTATGAAAATAATTTACGCAATACGAAAATAAAATATGTAAAGGATAAGAAACATTAATATTACCACAAATTTTTCCAATAACGTCGCAATATATTTTTCATGTTTTATACACTTAAAACAATAATTACGACAAGTACTTAATTTTCAATTGAAAATAGTGTTACAATCTTAGCAATACAGATAACTTTTTTCCACTCCTTTATAATACCATGAGAAATGTACCGGTACTATATAGATAGTTTTATCATTAAGGTTACGTCATTAACAAATAACAACTATAAAAACTACGATTAATTTGACCGAATTTGTTCACAAAAGAAAAATGGTTCGTGCATGGTACATGGATAACAGTGATGTTGATCAACGACTAGAACACCATAGAGAACCACCTGAATATATTTCCCTTGAAGAGTTATTTAAGAAAACGGGTGTCGAATATTTTAAGGTTAGATTAAACTTTTTTATTTTACTATAATTTCTTCAATATTTGCATTTATCATCCGGTTACAATGATATAATTACTTTCATCATTTTATATTAGATAAATACTTCATATAGTTTAACTAAAAATTATTTAGAAGGGTAGTTATCTTAAAATTTGACCTTGATATGATCTTGAAGAAATTACGTTGTATTAAAGTATCACTTTCATTGCTTGCAAATTGAATTTGGTAACATCTATACAGGTCAATTATGAAGAATATAAAAATGATAATACTTTAACACAATTAAGAAAAAAACGCGGTTACACATATGAAGACGAAATAGAATGTTCCAAAAAGTGCCTTCCAAACTATGAAGAGAAAGTAAGTTAAATTTCAATTATTGTTTCACTGTATTTAAATTATAATATATAAAAGATGCAAATCATGTAACATATTTTAAATGTTTAGTTGAAAAATTTCTTTACTGAACATCTTCATACTGATGAAGAAATAAGATTAGTCTTAAATGGATCAGGGTATTTTGATGTTCGCGACAAAGATGATCAATGGATACGTATTGAAGTTAAAGCTGGAGACTTGATAATTATTCCAAGTGGAATATATCACAGGTTTACTTTAGACATTAATGTAAGTGTCTTATTATTAAGTTTTACATCAAGTTTCTTTTATTATTTATGTCTTTTGTTTCATAGAATTACATAAAAGCAAAACGATATTTTGTGGGAGAGCCTGTTTGGTTACCTTATAACAGGCCAGCTGATGATATGGAATGCCGTAAAAATTATCTAAAACGCTTGAACAATAGTTTTTCAATACAATCTCTTTAACATCTGTTACAGAAGTTATGGATTGTGCAGACATATACTTTGAAGATGTACAGTATAATTTGTTTAAATTGAAACTCATTTATCCAATAATGTATGTTAAAATTTGCATTAATTATGATTATACATAATTACATTATGTATATATACATTCCGCAATACTCAGTGTTACGAAAAATTAATTCTTTACTTTATTGTCACATATCTGTAACATCCCGTTTGTACAAATATTGTATGTATAAATTTTATAAAACATGTTTTTTACATACAAAAATTGTTAATGATTTATTTTTATATTTCTTGTACATGAAATTATAAAATAATGTACGATAAAAGTGATATTTCTTAATCCGCAAAATTACTGTCTATTGTTTGTAGCACAATTATTTGTATTATATACATACGTACAAAAGCCTTAACAAATACTGAATTGTTGTTACAGTCTCAATTGTTAAACACTTGTTTTTAAAGACAGATTTCCGTGCATTTCTTTTTACAAATTTGATTTATATATTAACTTATGAAGTTCTGAACTTCCAATTGTTCGTATACACTTATTTCACAATAAATACACACCAATAAATGTCATACATAATGTCATAATTAGCGTACAATGCAGTACTAGATAAGAAAATATTCTAAACATGATCGTCAAAGTATAAAAATTGCAATGAAAAATAAATGTGATCACTAATTTTTGAATCTTAATAATGTAAGTTTAAATTAGTCTTAGTGAATAAAAAAAAAAGCAAAGAATGAAAAATATTCTCAGTGTCTCAAAAAGATATAGTTTCATCCACATGGATGCCTAAATCAAACGTCCATATCTTGTATATATGTATATAACAAATATCTTAGAACAAGTTTCACACTTTCCTTGTTTTTAAGGACAACAAATTGTCAATCTTTCTACTTTCACTTAATGCGTTAAAAGTCAGCATTAACTGTAAAATTGCTCTCTATTTTGTTTGCCATCACTCCCCATTTTTGATATTCTCCAACTTTTTTCTCGAAAAAGTTCGTCTTACCTTCCAAAGAAATATGTTCCATGAAATCGAATGGATTTTCTGATTTATAAAACTGGAAGTGAAAACATAAGTTAATACATTGTCTTATCAATATTACTATTAAAATTACAATTATTTTACAAACCTTTTGGCAACCTAATTCTACAAGCAATCTGTCCGCAACAAATTCAATATATTGGCACATGAGTTTACAGTTCATGCCTATCATTTCAACGGGTAAAGCGTCAGTTAAAAATTCTTGTTCAATTTGGACCGCGTCTTTAATAATTGATGTGACGCGTTCATTCGAAGGTTTCTGTATGATGTGTTTAAACATTAAGCATGCAAAATCGCAATGCAATCCCTAAAAAAAGAAAGTGTAAAGCCTTATTCATTTTTTGATTTCCTATTTTTCACCCAATAAGTTAATTCAACATGTATTTAAATAAGATACATTACACACCAACCTCATCTCTAGAAATGAGTTCATTACTGAATGTAAGGCCTGGCATAAGTCCTCTCTTCTTTAACCAAAAAATGGCAGCAAAACTACCACTAAAGAAAATACCTTCCACTGCAGCAAATGCAATTACACGTTCGGGAAAGGTAGCAGTTTCATGATTTATCCAATTTAATGCCCAATTAGCTTTTCTCGCAACACACGGCAAATTTTCAATCGCATTAAATAAAAAGTCCCTGTGAAAATAATACTAATGTAAATAAAAGTTGTGCAATACATAATAATTTCCAAAAACATACTTTATTATTTACCTTTCTTTAGCATCTGCAATATATGTATCGATTAACAAAGAGTACATTTCTGAGTGCACATTTTCCATTGCAACTTGAAAGCCATAAAAGCAACGTGCCTCTGTTATTTGCACCTCCTGGCTAAATCGTTCAACAAGATTTTCATTGACAATTCCATCAGAAGCAGCAAAAAATGCTAATACATGTGATATAAATTTTTTCTCACTGATAGTTAAACTGTTCCAGTCAAATAAATCCTGCAAAGATTAAATATTATAGAATTAATTATTAACTATTACAATTTTTTAAATACAACTCTAAATTTTTTGAGCCCAAAAATTATACCTTAGAAAGGTCTACTTCCTCCACTGTCCAAAAGGAGGCTTCTGCTTTTTTGTACATTTGCCAAATGTCAGGCCATTGGATAGGAAAAACAACAAATCTACGTGGATTTTCTTTTAGCAGTGGTTCTAATTCTGGAGAGAATTCACTTTCTTTCATTTTTCTTGTAACTTTTGTTTTAGTTACCTAGAAAGATTTAAAAATGTTGTTAGGTTTGTTAAAATATAATTAATTATACTATACAAATCTAAGGATTTTATTCACCTCATTTTTAGTGCCATTTTCGTGAAGAGTAGCTGGTGAAGTACATAATTTCTTTGGAGAAGTCTGAAAGCAAAATAAAATGGAAGTCAATATAAAAAGCATTTACAATATTAAATAATCACAGAATTACATGTGACTACCAAACCTTATAAATAGAATTTAATGTTTCATTTACAGAAGGCACAAATAATTTTCTTAACATCATTATAAATAATAGAGATACATAGAAAATCATGAAATCAAAAACCTTATTGTATTGCATAATTGTATGCAATAGTAGATGTACAATTCATTGTGCTGTGAAAAATACAAGGAAATTCAAGAGTACTTTATGTTCAATGCAAAAATAACCTTATTCTAATATAAGTAGTAAAATCTACTTGTTTAAATTTACATGGTAATTTCCTTTATAGTTTATTGTGAATGTGAAAAAATCTTTGGGTATCTTTTTAACATACCGATGCTGCAATTTGTCACAACGAACATTTCTCGGGATATATAACATTTTAGCACCGGGTAAAGTAATTTGAGATAAAGAGATAAAGTACGCAAAAAATTTGAAAAGAAAAAGAATATACTAAGTAATAAAATGTGATAAGTACAGTATTCCATCCATATCAAGATTTTCAAGTATACGTCGTAATTATACTTTAAGGTGAACTAATCCAAAAACAAGACAAATAATCTTACAAAGTGTTCCGGAATCCATTTAAAAATATTGTGTATATATAGTTTTGCATTCTTATCAAATTATGCAATTGAATTGTAATGAACAATCACTTAACAGGAAATTAAGGATTGATTAAAGTGACAGAAAAATTTTAATAAACTTACATTATCTTTTAGAGAAACATTCTCGAGATGTTTACGAATGTTTTCTTTTGTTGAAATTTGAAGTGGCATTTTAGTATTGTATGAATGTCACAGAAAAGGTGAACAATTGTGACAAGAAGTTATCACTAAAGCTACACTGCTCGCAGGAAAGAAGTCACTCAAATGTTAAAAACCCAGTGCAAAGGATACTCTTATTCGTGCTGTTTCCCTCCGTTTTTCGCCAAACTGTTGTTAACCAATCAAATGATCAGCTTTTACCGCCAAAACACATTAGCACTCATAAAAGTAGAGAACTTACATCCTTACGAATATTCAAAAATCTACTAAAATAATTTCTTTGAATATTTTAAGGGAAATAAGATTAATAATTATATTATATAGATATTTATTTTCCCGCGTATTTTATATGGTTGCGCAAGTCTCTTAGAGAATCATTATTACAAACATAAGGCACGATTCTCAATGGAAAATCTAACGTAAAAAGTTACTCTATCATTTAAAACACGAAACTCATTCGTCAGCTGATTCATGTACTAGTGGTAAACACCTGATATTAGGCACGTTCAGTTGTTTTGTAAGCAATAGCGTACATTTGTATGTCACTTTATGTATTTTAATGTTAAACCAGTTTTTCTTTAAACAATCTTTGGTATAAAAGGTATTTTTATTATTAGAAAGATGTCGTTCAAAGATATGATATAAAGTATTAAACTTCTTTAATTTTTAAAAAATTAT